GAACAGACATTTTTCGTTCCGGTTTGGTATTTTTGGCCAAGTCACGTCAATGGTCAAAGTGACGTAAGGGCAAATTTTTAAAGATCAGGTATATAGGTCATCATATGGCTTTCGCGGCGGCCGGGTGACGAACTCCTTGTGGTCCGGGTTCACTCCCGGGGTAGGCAGAAAAGCCACATTTCTCCCAGATTAACGGTACCTATAATGGAATCAATGCCGAAGGGTTGCGATATCCATAGTACCGAGCTAAAGGGAAAAGTAAAAGCATGCCGTTGAGTGTTGTGGGGAGGAACAGTTTTCGATCCATTGCTTGGTAGTCAACAATGATCATTGTTATTCCATGTGTATGTAGAAGCTTTTTAATGACGTCAGTCTGTGACCTTCTAGGGCGACCTCTTGCTTTCACTTCAGACCTTTTCATTTGTAGCGCCTGCGATGGTGGTTGTTCTGTCCACCTGTGCTCAAAAGCCGTTTGCAGATCACCATGGAAGCATAGTCTGGAACACATTCGTTTTAACATGGCTACCGTAAATTAGTTCTAGCTGATTTAGCTCTAGCACATCCCACTCCACTCCCTCTCAGTGAACTCCTCCTTGTGATTACTGTCATTCATTTATTTTATTCATTTATTTTATACATTAGAGTCCTATGTAGTCACTTCATAGTTAGAACATATTTGTGTATGTGTACTGTGTTGCCCTTTATGTGCGGATGAAGGCTAATCGCCGCAACGTCCTTTGTTTGTTTATTGTGATCGATTTTGTAAAGCTAACATAAACTATTTGTTGTTTCTTACCAACTTTTTCTCTTCCCTATAATTTTCTACTCCTTTTAAAAACTGTTTAATAGTGTGTGCGAAGTATAGAAACAGGCTTTTTGTTAAAGGATCTTTAGTTCTGTCTGCCTGTCTCTCCCCTCTCTCTATTACCCCCCCTCTCTCTATTACCCCCCCCCCCTCCCCAAATCCAAAGCTCCTTTCTGCCTGCTCAACCTTCCAGCCACGAAACCCGTTTTTTTATATTTGTCTGCCTGTCTCTCCCTATCTCTCTCTCTCTCTCTCTCTCTCTCTTTTCTTCTCTCTCTCTCTCTCTCTCTCTCTCTCTCTTTCCTCCCTCCCTCCAGCTCCTTTCTGTCTGCTTAACCTTCGAGTCACGTAACTCATTTATCGTTTTACACATGGTTACTCAAACGTAAGAGAAACTTTTTTCTCACAGAAGTGGCTTTTCTCTTTAAATTAGTCTCTTCCCCCTTTTGTTCCGCTCTCTGTCTGTCTGTTTATATGTATGCCTGTTTCTATGTCTGTCTGGTCTCTCTGTGTGTCTCGTTCTCTTTTTCAGTCTTCCTTCCCAACAAATCTAGTTGATAAATAAGGTAAGGAAAACCCCATGAATGCAGGCATTAAAATCGTAGGGATTATGACTACGTTGCATAGAATTTTATTCTGCGCGACCTACCACCTTCTGACACAGAGCTGCAGTGACGATTCTCAGCCCCCCCCTTTTTTTTTGTGGTGGAGGGGTGGGGGGGTGGGGGGGGGGGGTGTATGTATTTGTCTCTCTTCCTTTTGCACACCAGATTAAAAACACTTTTGTTGTCAATTCGCCACAGTATTTAAGAGAAACCAGTTAACACACAGCGGGTCACTTGGTACTGAATGAGATAACGTTTCAGGTAAGAAGGAATCCTGCCCCCATGCCATTTGATATCTTGAAATGGTATTGGCGGTGTTGGCGCCTGCCATTGTTGATCACACAGCGCTTGACGAGTAAGGTGACCAGTTGCCTGACACTTCTCCATCCTCTCGTAACCTTTGTGGACCTTTTTTCTCCTGTTCACCCCCTTTCTTCTCCTTCTTCTCTCTTCTTTTTCTTCGTGTTTACCGGCGGAAGGTTCTGGTTGTTCATCCACTTCTGGAGTTTTGTTTTGTTCCAGGACTTGGTTGTTGGTAGTTGCGTGCACTGATTTGGCTTATTTATGTGCACAATATTGGTTCTTCTTATTTCAGGTAGATGCACTCTTTGATGGAAACGTCCAGTTATATACCTTTGTTAAGCGCCTCCCCTCCCCACCCCTCCCCTTAAGCCATGTGGACGCCACAAGTTCATACTTGCAGTTTTTTTTAACCCACGTCAGTTAAGCAGCAGACGAACGCCGTAGCTGCAACATTACGGGATGTTTAAAGACCTCGTTTAATACTTAGCTGTGCTAACCTGCAGAAAAGTTTTAATACGCGAATTCCAGTAAAGATTTGTTCGTTCTAGAAATGTACCAGATCTATATCTGTGTGGGGACTATTTCCTTATGTATGAGGACATCTGTACAGCCATGTGTTTAGTTCCACTGGTATCCATCCGCACTACCTTTCTGGTTAACATTTTAAACTTGAGCTCCCACGGAATCAAACGCGTTCACGAGGACCATCAGTCATTCCAGAGGACGCGGAATCCGTGAACAGTCAGCCAGGAGAGATACATTAGCTACAGGCGCTGGGGGGCAGAGTGTAGTCTGCTGCTGTCAGTATCGTACTTGTGTTTCACCGGGTGCTGGAGTATGGCGGCCAAGTGTTTGAGGACATCTCACATTGTTTGACTGGCTTCCACATGAGCAGAAGACTGATTCTCTGGAAGCGGAGAATGTCTCTGCGGCAATGCTTGAAAGAATGTTGCCAGGTATACTCTCTCTCGCTCTCTCTCTCAACCTTCAGGTCTTGAAGCCCCCCCCCTCCCCCAGTTATCTTTATAATCCTTCTCACACCTGATTACTTAACTTCAACCCAGAAGCCGTTCTCTTTCACTCTCTATCGCCCCAACCTTTCCCTTCCTTGTCTGACATTATCTCCATCTCTTCTTCCTGCTTAACTTTGAAGTCACAATATCCGTCTATATATTTTTGCATGTCTGTAACAACCCCTCCCCCCTCCCGCACCCACTTTCCGACCCCGCTCAGCTCCTTTCTGTCTGCTCAAATTTCGAGCCACGAAATCATTTGCATGTCTGTCTGTTTGTCCGTCTGTCTGTGTCTGCGGTACACCCCAGCTCCTATCTGCTAAACCTTTGAACCACAAAACCCATTAATAGTTTACACATGGTTACTCAAAGGTGAGAGGATTCATCTCACAGAAGTGGCTTCCATCTGTAAATTAATCCCACCGGTCGGTCTTTCTGCCTGTCTGCATGGCACGCAAACTCTAATCTATCTATCTATCTATCTATCTATCTATCTATCTATCTATCTATCTATCTATCTATCTATCTATCTATCTATCTATCTATCTATCTATCTATCTATCTATCTATCTATCTATCTATCTATCTATCTATCTATCTATCTATCTATCTATCTATCTATCTATCTATCTATCTATCTATCTATCTATCTATCTATCTATCTATCTATCTATCTATCTATCTATCTATCTATCTATCTATCTATCTATCTATCTATCTATCTATCTATCTATCTATCTATCTATCTATCTATCTATCTATCTATCTATCTATCTATCTATCTATCTATCTATCTATCTATCTATCTATCTATCTATCTATCTATCTATCTATCTATCTATCTATCTATCTATCTATCTATCTATCTATCTATCTATCTATCTATCTATCTATCTATCTATCTATCTATCTATCTATCTATCTATCTATCTATCTATCTATCTATCTATCTATCTATCTATCTATCTATCTATCTATCTATCTATCTATCTATCTATCTATCTATCTATCTATCTATCTATCTATCTATCTATCTATCTATCTATCTATCTATCTATCTATCTATCTATCTATCTATCTATCTATCTATCTATCTATCTATCTATCTATCTATCTATCTATCTATCTTTCTTCTCTTTCTTTCTTTCTTTCTTTCTTTCTTTCTTTCTTTCTTTCTTTCTTTCTTTCTTTTCTTTTTCTTTCTTTCTTTCTTTCTTTCTTTCTTTCTTTCTTTCTTTTCTTTCTTTCTTTCTTTCTTTCTTTCTTTCTTTCTTTCTTTCTTTCTTTCTTTCTTTTTCTTTCTCTTTCTTTCTTTCTTTCTTTCTTTCTTTCTTTCTTTCTTTCTTTCTTTCTTTCTTTCTTTCTTTCTTTCTTTATTTCTTTCTTTCTTTCTTTCTTTCTTTCTTTCTTTCTTTCTTTCTTCTTTCTTTCTTTCTTCTTTCTTTCTTTCTTTCTTTCTTTCTTTCTTTCTTTCTTTCTTTCTCTCTTTTCCCCTTTCTTTCTTTCTTTCTTTCTTTCTTTCTTTATTTCTTTCTTTCTTTCTTTATTTCTTTCTTTCTTTCTTTCTTTCTTTCTTTCTTTCTTTCTTTCTTTCTTTCGTCCTTCTGTTCTTTGGATAATTTATTGCCTTTGATTATAGTATCTTCGTTTTTTCCGGATCCTGTCTACACGCGTCCGCCCAAAATATGATGTAACGTCCCAGCGTTATCAGGGGCGCACAGGTTAAGCCAGCAAACAACATAGAAGCATGCATCGCTGGGTGGGTACCTGTCTGTACACATGACTCGTCCTGTGTGCACTCTCACCTAGCCCGTGTGCGGTAGCGGGTGAGGTGGGAGAGGGGCGGAGGCAGGCAGGGTATAGGTAATTGGGATGTGCTTCCTTCACGTCCGGCTGTAAATTCTAAAGATGGCCGTGGCTTCCTTTATCCCGTCACAGACACTGCAGTTAGTAGACATTTGTCTGTAATAAGAAATCCTGGATTAGTCTCTCCCCCTTGCTCTCTCTCTCTCTCTCTCTCTCTCTCTCTCTCTCTCTCTCTCTCTCTCTCTCTCTCTCTGCAGACAGCATGAGATGAATTGTTTGATAAGTCCTCGATTAGGACTATACCCTTTCCCTCTTTTCCTTTCTCTCTTTCACACACACACACACACATACACACACACACTCTCTCTCTCTCTCCGCTTCCCCCAGAGGCGCCCTACTTTTTCAGTGTTCAGTCTGTCTGTCTTTCAGCTAATAGAACGTGTAATAAATTGTCACCCATTGTTTCAGATGAGCGAGGGTCGCAAAAGCCAGATAGTGTTGTTAGACGAGAGACGCCTGGACATTATTATACAGGTAAGTCCTCCGTCTGTGATCTATATTCGGGTCCCTCTCCTATACCCGACTCGAGTCTCTTACTGTTAGGTGTGTGTGTGTGTGCGCGCGCGCGTGCGCGTGTGCCTGCGTGCGTGCGTGTGTGCGTGCGTGTGTGTGTGGAGGGTCTTCGAAACAAAGATAAAAACAAAGAACAGCTAGTAATAATAATAAATATAAACCACAGCCTTCTCCATCTTATATCAAGTAACACCTTTATATTGACACATTTGGATGGGGCAGAGTCTGCTCAACTCCAGACTTGTCAGTGTATTTATCAGATACCATAATATTAGACGTAAGAAAATATTTCACACGCACCACACATGTTTTCCCTGGTGTCCAATATTTCCGTGGAATAAATTTCAGTCATTTTTCTCTTAACTGAGCATTCGAAGGAAATTTAAACACATTCACATATCCACTTGAAGAAAGTACCTATCGGGTACTGAACATTTCGCAGGCATGGTTAATAACACTTTAACACTTCAAAACAGCTTATTTTTGGAAATGTAAATACAAAAACAAGGTAATTACACAACGTAAAAATCCACTATCACGTCACACCAAAAAACTATACATCACGTTTTACAAGCCCACGTTTGCAGCTAACCGGAAAAGCTCCACGGCCCAAGATGGAGAAGGCTGTGTATAGATAGTCATATTTAGATTGCGTACTGGACGCAACAGATTCTGCAGCCACATGTACAAGAAATTGAAGATTGGGGATTCAGAATGGTCCCATGCTGAGAAGCAGCACAGAAAACTGAACATATGCTACAGCCGTGATCTCTGTACATGCAGCAAAGAGATCCCAGGTTCGGCCAGTTGGCATTCCAGTGGAAACCAAGCTATATGAATTAGTGGAAGACATGCGTGGCGCCAGGGACTTCAGTGAGACCTGTGTGGCCTCATCTGAAAACCACTGACAGGTAGAACGAACAGTAGAAGATGAGATACGAAGATTCGTTTTCTTGGGCGTTTTCAACATCGCCCGATGTTTTGTATAGAGCAAAAGGCACTTTTGGCGATATGGTCAGTATCATGTCGACCGCCCTTACTATTCTGGTACACATTCTGGGCTGTCAGACTTAAAGCGCATGTCGGTTCGAAAAAGTCCGCCTCAGATGGAGTTCTTTTACCACGGGCCCTGCCGGAAAGATTTTCTCCCTCCCCTCCCTCCTCCACCATCTTCTTCTTCTTCTTCTCCTCCTCTTCTCCTCCTCTTTTCTCCCAAGACATGGCTGTGCTAATCTTTTAATGGCATCGATGAGTGGGCTGGCGAGGGAGTAATCAGCGTTGCATAGGCTTTGCTAGGTCTGCAAAACGCATCGCCTTCAGACTGTGTACATCAAATGATGGAGTGCCCATTATAGAAACGCCGAGAGGAGAGGCTGCAGAGTCAGACACTTTTTCGCAACAAAGAAAATATCTGCGTGATTTATCTAAATAATACAGCCAATTGCAGGAAGAGACCGGGACCTGTACGACTGAAGTTTACTGGTTTCCAGTTACGTAATCGAATCATACAGTGATGTGGATGTATGGGATGAGATCCCGCGGGGTAAATTTACTATAAAGAGAACTAGGATGAACAACATGTATCTATTTCAAGGAGTGATAAGAGTGGTTTGGTCATTTACGAGAGTGGATTGTAGAAAATGTGCCAAGAAGCGAAAAAACAAAATACACAGAGGGTGTATGATCAAGGCGGTTTGAGAGTCTCGTTTAGTCTCATTTAGAGAGAGGCTGTCCGTGGTAAAGTCGTTAAATCGTCTGCTTTACGTTGAAGGTTCTGGGTTCGATTTTGGTGTCTTTATTTTGGTTCACGGATGCATTTGTTTAGGAGAGCCTAAAGCTCGCCGCCGGAGTACGGGTTTCCGTGCTTTGTGCGATGCCAATATGGATAAAAACCCGTTGCAGTTAAGTCGATCCACTGATTCTTGCATTTAATGACACTAGCTAGCTTGAGGTAAATGCAATCTTGCAGTGTTACTCTCTGCCTCCAGTTACAGTAATATTCACACTTTTTGAAAGAAGTAATTAAATAACAGTTGCTAGTGTAAAATATACACTTTTTGAAAGAAGTAATTAAATAACAGTTGCCAGTGTAAAATATAAACTTTTTGAAAGAAGTAATTAAATAACAGTTGCTAGTGTAAAATATACACTTTTTGAAAGAAGTAATTAAATAACAGTTGCTAGTGTAAAATATACACTTTTTGAAAGAAGAAAAATACCGTAAAATGTTTGTTTTAGTATCCAGAAGCCATGAGTTGTTAACCCTTAGGCTCGGTATTATGGATATCGCAACCTTTCGGCCTTGATTCCATTGTAAATACCGTCAATCTGGGAGAAAATGTGGCTTTCCTGCCTACCCCCGGGATTGAACCCGGACCACAAGGAGTACGTCACCCGGTCTCCTCGAAATCCGGTTTAGCCAATTCCGCAGAGAGAGCCGGGCAATACCGTAAAATATACCCTTTTGTGTCACATTGTTTATATTTATGTGTCAACTGAAGCCGTAGTGGGGCAGTTGATTTGAAGCAACTGATTTGTTGCAGTGAGAAAACATTCTGACAAGCTAAAAAAAAAAATACACACAATGGAATTTGTTCAAAGTCAGAGAAAATATAAAAACATCAGCAAGCAAAATTATCAAATCTTTATTTCTAAAGGTTTCCGTAGCTGAGTGGTCAAGCCGTTTGTCTCGCGCTCTGAAGGTAGGGGTTTGTTTCACGGCTGCGTCCTTCAGTTCACTAGCGCGATTTTTACGGAAATTCATGGGGATCGTCGCCAGAGCTACGGAGTTCGTGCTCGGTTCGGCGCTCTATGCAGGCGGCTAACGGTTCTGCGGAGAAAACCCGGTGCAATGAGGTTGATTCTCTCGAATTTAACCTATTTCTAAAATAAATTTGACACCAAAAGATATAGTAGTTTTTTTTTTAGTCTAAGGGATATAATTAAGGTTTTTTTGGGAACACATTTTAGCTTTATCTAGTTACTTCTCTTGCAATAGTCATGTAGCATTGAAGCTTGGGGAGAGTGTTTATTTTAATTTTAACAAAAGAAATTAGAAAGTATCTACTAAACCTTCCCCAACCCGATATTAGGTGGGGAAAGGATGTTCAGCTTCTCGGATAAGCATGAATAACTAAGTTCTGTATGTATTTTGCACTTAGATTCTCAGGACACTTTGAGTAAGCATAGAATAAGCTGATGATTTTCGGTTTGAATCCACACCACAACACTATGCACCATGTTCACAACCACCAGTATCTTTATCCATATATTTTGCCCGGCTCGCTAGCGTAATTGGCTAAACCTGACTTCACGGCGACCGGGTGATGAAGTCCTTGTGGTCTGGGTTCACGTCCAGGAATAGGCAGAAAAGCCACATTTCTCCCAGATTTACTGTATTTATCATGGAATCAATGCCGAAGGGTTGCGATATCCATAGTACCGAGCCAAAGAGTTTAAGAACAATAACTTTTCTTGTTTGCTTTATGTCAATGATTTTGAACCCCTTTTCACTTAGTTTTAGGCTGAAGATTTTAGTTTTGAATCCACACCACAACAGCTTTTAATAATTGTTATTGAGACCAGTGTGGTCCTGGCCTGAAATGATTACCAGGAAATGTCCTGCGAAGTAAAGGCGGCCAACATGCTGTTAGCCGCGTCACCCACTGAGCACTGATTGGTCTATTAAAATATGGGGTTAGCACCATTTCCCTGAGGAACCTCTGGTGTAGCGGTGAAACACCCACCTATGGATCTAAAGGTTTTTGGCTCAAACCCCAACCGAGCCGAACTTTGAAAAAAAAAAGCCTTGGCTCCCTGGTTAGCTCATCCTTAAATTGGTAACGAGTAAAGTCCTGGGGGGGGGGGGGGGGGGGGGAGTGACTTGGACAGTGCTGTCCACATCACCTACAAACCGATTGGTCTATAAAGTGAGTTCTGGCACTACAAGCACTATACGCCTGAAGGTGCGGAAAGGGGTCCTTGACCAAAATTTTTTTTTTCATGTGTCTGATGCGCCAGTGCACCTGGGAAGGGGGCTGTTACTTTCGCTTTTACCATATGCTTGATGTGCCAATGCATGTAAAAAGGGTACCTTTACGGCAATCTTTCGAATAACGGTCCCAAATTATCCCTGTTAGGGTATATTTTCGGCCTCGATAATTTAGGACCGCCATTCGGAAGATAGCCTACCTTTACTTTCACTGTTGCCATATGCTTGATGTGCCAATGCATGTGAAAAGGGACCTTTACTTCCACTGTTTCCGTATGCCTGATGTGTCAGTGTATGTGTGTGGAAAAGGGATCTTTTACTTCCACTGTTTCCGTATGCCTGATGTGTCAGTGTGTGTGTGGAAAAGGGATCTTTTACTTCCACTGTTTCCGTATGCCTGATGTGTCAGTGTGTGTGTGGAAAAGGGATCTTTTACTTCCACTGTTTCCGTATGCCTGGTGTGTCAGTGTGTGTGTGGAAAAGGGATCTTTTACTTCCACTGTTTCCATATGCCTGGTGTGTCAGTGTGTGTGTGGAAAAGGGATCTTTTACTTCCACTGTTTCCATATGCCTAATGTGCCAATGCGTGCAGAAGGACTCCTTTACTTGACTGAAGTCCTTTATCTGGTTTAATTCCTGCAGCCCAAGTTGTACTCCAGTGAGCTTCTGGATCTGGTTGCCTCTCACTTCAAGCTGAAAGAAAAGCAATACTTCGGACTGGGTTTCTTTGATGACACGTAAGTGTTGGGCGTGTTGTGTGTCATGTGCCAGGGTTTTCATTTTATAGCATAAAGAGGGGAGTATGACAAGAATGTCTACTGTCATCTGATTTGTTTTCATTATACAGTGAATATATAGTGAGATCTATCACGGATACGCCAGGAATTGTGGGTGGTGGTCATAACATAAACAGTCTGCGTTAGGCTGATGACACTGTCTTGATAGCGAAAAGTCAGAACAAACTACAGGAATTGATTGAAACGGTGGTGGGAGAAATTGATAAAATGGGCCTCAGTTTGAATAATAAAAATACAGAAGTTCTTCTTCTTCTTTCGTTCGCCTAAAATAAGTTGTCTATATCAGCAGTTTTGTCTCTTGTGTACATTTCACCGTCGTTGTTAGTTCATTCCGTGGTCCATAGAGTTTACGTTCCACTGTTGTTCTTTCTGGCCAAAAGGTTTGCCCTAATGTGTCAAATTCGATGCAGTACTGGAGTACATGCTCTGCTGTCTGGGGCACCTTTCCACAGGTGCACATGGCTGATACACCTGTCTTGAATTTTGTGTGTACATGTGGTTACGTAGTCGGTTGTGCCCTGTTCTGAGGCAGAGGATAATGGCTTGTTCTGGTCTGTCCATAATATATTTCCATGGTGTGTGTTTGTGACATCCTGATTGCTGTGGTGCGCCTCCTGGCTGATTGCCTTCGATTTCTGCATCTTGTTTTGCTAGGGTAGACTGTGATCATACTCGAGGAGAGTAGGCTCATCCATTTGTCTTTCTCCTTTACCTCGTTTGTTGTCCCATCCAGTTTCCCCGCGGGGGTTTGAGACCCTAACCTTCAAATACAGAAGTAATGGTGATTTCCAAGGAAAGAATGGTACCCAAATGTATAATAAAAGTCAAAGGCATTATTTTAGGACAAGTACAGCAATTTTAATATCTAGGCACATGGATAACTTCAAATGGATAATTAACAGAGAGATAAAGAACACCATAGGACAGGCCGAAACTGCATTTAATAAAATAAAGAACGTTTTCTGCAATAAATCCATGTTATTGGAGATTAGGAAAAGAAGTCTAAGGTGCTGTATAGAGTCAGTTGTAACATATACCGAACATATAAACAAGCGGAACCATTTCTTCAGACCTCGTAAATGTGGTTTTACAGAAGAATCAGAATTCCTTTGACAGCTTAAAAGAGCACAACCTAGATGTTCTTAAAAAGGCGAGGGCTCAACGACAACTTATCACAAACATCAGAAAGAGACAGTTATCATTTTGTGGTCATGTTTTTGAAAAGAGGGAAACTGGAAAATATTGTGACCCTTAGAAAGATCTGTGGAAAGAGAGACAGAGGAAGACAGTGCAAGGAGATTCTTGACAGCCCTTTGTCATGGCTTGGAGGGGTGTCAACACATGAACTGATACAAGCAGTTGCAGATAGCAGCATGTGGAGAGGTATGAACACCCATGCCAGCGGTTAGGCACTTCATGATAATGATGATGCCAGGGTTTTGTGAAGATCTGAATAAGACATAGGTAGAAGAAGCCAAATTGGGGGAGTCATACACTTATTTGGGTAGTAATGTAGATAAAGGTGAGGGGAACTAATAGAAATATTAAAGTACAAATACAAAAGACAAGTAGAGTTTTCATAGCAGCCGGAAAATTGTGAGAGTCAGTAGAAATTAAAACATACTAAACTTAACATTTTGAGTTCTATTGTCAAATCAATACTGCCTAATGGAGCAGAAAATGGAGAACAAATAAAACATTTACTAATACACTACAAATATAATTAACTGGTGCTTGCCCAAAATAGATGGAATTAAATGCTGTGCTAGAATCACTAATGTGGGACAGGGAAACATCACAAAGCAGGTGAATTTGAGATACAATAGAGGATTTGCCTTTGTGTGTTTGAGTATGCTTTATCAATCTTCATGCTCAACTGCAAGAAAATGGAAGTGAAGTGAAGAATATTACAGTGTAGATTTATTTGAGATATGATAGATGATCTGCTTTTCTGTGATTGGGTATGCTTTTTCAATTCTAACGCAGATTGAGAGGATGAAGAGAATGCATAGTGCACACACTATATGCATTATACTTGGGTGCAGAAAAGAGACACCTGACACACAAAAACGTTTATTTACCAGGATATATGGGTGTATGAGGAAATGAACAAGCTGATAGCTTGTAGACAGGGCTTATGTGGATAGATGATGAGTAGTTGATCAGGTTCATATACCGAATGTCTAATGAGAAGTAAGCTGATTGCATAATCGTATGATGACTGAATCAGGATTATTGAACAGATTGTAACAACAGGAAATGATAAAAGTGACAAGAGCCACATGCAGGAAGTGCAGGTAAACCAACACAGAAGTGGCGTCGCCAGCTGCTGCATGTTAAGAAATATAATGACGAGTGGATCCAAGCACTTAGTGGCTCAGTGGTTCCATGTGCAATAAAGATGACTAATTGCATGATTTGCCTATGACAGCAACAGGGACAGGGCTAATTTGTATGCTCACGCAGTATTCGTGTGCGCTTCATGCGAGCTACAGGGAGAGAAGTGAGTATGCGAGTGCATTTTGCAATCAAGTGTGTGTGTGTGTGTGAGAGAGAGAGAGACGTGTGTGTGTGTGTGTGTGAGAGAGAGAGACAGAGACAGAGAGAGAGAGAGAGAGAGAGAGAGAGAGAGAGAGAGAGAGAGAGAGAGAGAGGGAGGGGGGGGATACTGTGCACTTAAATTATCATGATGATGTTGGTGGCATAATCATCCTCATTGCTGCAGCTACTACTTCTTCCACTGCCACCACCATCATGCCACAACACCAGTACAGATGATAATGAAATTAGTTTTGAAATCCCAACCCATTTGGTTTGCTAGTCTAATACCTATTACTTGAAAATGAGTTCTCTGTTTGTCTGATGTTTAACTTTACATACATTATTCATTTGGCTTTGTGAGGACTGCTGTCTATTCTACTGCTCACATGCATCAGTTATAGGTATTATGTATAGTTTTCATTCTCCAAGGGATAGAGACATCATTGGGACAACCTGTTTGCTGTGAGGTGCAACTGTAACTTAATAACTTGACCCTTAGATAGCTTGTTTATAAGGATTACTGGAAAGGCTAATCCTAGCACCATTTGCCTCAATAGAGCGAATGTGTAGGTCAATGATACAAATAACGCAGCCGTGTTGTTTTAATAGGCATATTCCATGTCCGTCCTCACATGAACGACGAAGAAGAAGACAAAGTTTATAAGGAGTATACTTTTGTCTGGCGAGATAGCCTTTGACCTTGCAGATAACTTTTCATTCTAGATCTCCCTGTGTGTGTTCCATGATCCCATTTGTGTGTGTGTGTGTGTGTGTGTGTGTGTGTGTGCGCGTGCGTGCGTGTGTGGATTGGATGGGGGTGGGTGGGTGTGGTTGGGGGGGGGGGGGGGCAGAGGATAGCCGAAGAAGAAGAGCTAGATATTTTACCCAAGAGCTCACCACCATTTCTGGATACTTGTAGCACCTAGAGATGTTGCCCAGCACCTTCCCTTAATCCCTGTATATGATTTTTTCATCTACAGATTCTACGTGGACACCATTGGACTGTTGCGAGACATCCAGACTGTTGAACTCTTTTACCTCAATGCCAGACAGTTGTTGTTCAGGGTAAGTATTTTTATGAGTTTGGTGTTTATCTCAGTTCATCCTTCTATTGTGCCATTATAATATATCACACAGTGAACACAGTCTAGTCTTCCATTCTATTCAATCCTGTGCAACCCTTTAGAAATCATGGATGGAATCCAGTCCAGCCCCTTTGGCCTCTCTCAGCAGTGTTTGTCTATGTTTTTGTTGTGGGCATCCTTGTGTCCTGTGTTAGTGCCTGCCTGGTGATTCTATCTCCATTTCTCCTCATTATGTGCCAGATATATGGCCACCTTCTTTGACTTTTTTGGGGTTTGTTTTTGATCCAGAAACCATGAGTTGTAAACTATTTGTCTTGATACAGTGGATATCGCAATCCTTCAGCCTTGATTCCCTGGTAGATTCCGTAAATCTGGGAAATATGTTGCTTTTCTGCCTACCCCCCAAGTGCGGTTTGTCACCCGGACGCCGCACAGCTGGTTTAACCAGCTCGGCTATCACGCCGAACTCTTTGTCTTACAAATGATAATGCAAGCAGTTGTCCAGATATTTTTTCATATTCATCACCTTATTTATTACAGTTGAGGACCTAATAAATTACTAGTTAAAGTCTTGCAGTTGTGAATGTAACTTATTGCCTGTTGATTGATTATGGTAATATTGTAGAGGTAATGTAATACCTGTGAGATATTGGAAAGGTTGCGATTTAAAAAATTATTGTTACTAATACCATGAATGAAAGTAGAGCATTCTAAGCATTGTAACAGAGTGACACTGTTCTTTGGTCAGGTGATGAGAAGAGAGGTATGCAGAAACTGTGTGATGGCTGGTTATAGTAGTAGTACCTCTACTGCTACCTATTACTATTACCGTTGCTAGTATCAGTACTGCTGCTGCTGTTACAGCTACTACTACTACCACTACCACTACTGGTTGTAGAAACAGTAGTAGCAGTAATGAAACTTTGAATTCTATCTACATGTGAATCAGGGAAAACTGCAGCAGCATGCAAATTGTATGACAGTGATGGTATTTTGCTCTTACTACTACTACTGTTGCTGCTGCTTCTACTACTAGTCGTAGCAACAGCAGCAGCATAAGTAGTAAAGCAGCATCAACATAGTAGTAGTAGAAGTAGTGGTGGTGGTAGTAGTAAGAACAAAACACTGTCTCTGTTAAATATTTTCCAAGCTGTTTTTCTGTGAATCACATTCAGAATTCATATTTCCATATTTCCATGAGTTTGACTATATTTGCATTCTGAACAATATCTCAATAGCTCCAGACATCTCACAATCACAGTGGTTCTCAAACAGTTTCCTCTCAGGACCCCTTTCCATTCTGAAAAATTAATG